TTTTCCTCAGTAGTACTAACCAAGTACTAGGTAACATACTTAGTGAAGGTTATAAACTTTTCATTGTACTACTTCATTATCTTGCTCCCTTGAACTTGACTATGAAAAAACTCTTACATCTATTGCTTGGTAGATGGTAAAACTAACCAGCTTGTTAATGTCTCCATAAACTCCTACCAAGAGACCATTGTGTTCAGCCGACTGAGGAATGTCTCCCTTTGCTAGCATATCCATTAATGCTCTACCTCTCTAACAATTAAAAATATAGCTAATGAAACCTTGTTTACACCAAGGAACCATATGTTGTAAGAGGATTTCTCTAACCTCATCAAGCAATCATTATCTACTTGAGGCTCAACACTCCCTAAAATTAAGGAGGCTTTGACCTATAAAATATATGGAGATTTCTATCACCTTCCTTCCCCTTCACTACCATCTGTCCCTTATGAGCCTCACTCATAAGCTAGGCCAGCAATCCTGCAAACTACATAATGAAATCTAATGTCATTGTCCCCACATAATTTAAACTATAACAGCATGGCTAGCATTCCATAAAGTTCTTCTTGATCTTGGGGGTTCATGATGCAACAATGCTTCTATCTAAAACAATAATATCATGGTACAATTACATGCACATATATTACATCTTCAAATAGAGAATAATATAAAACTAATCCCAACTCCTTATTCTTATATATATATATATCATTTCCTATAGCTCTTATTAGGATTCAATAATTCCAAACTTTTGTTTTGATACCTTTCTAACATGCCCCAGGATCTAATAAAAGAATTGAATTCCTAAACCAAGATTCCTCGACCATAATACAACACACCATAACCATCTAAGTAATCCAAAATAATTCAAATAAAGAGAAAACCTTCAATTTTCATTTCCAAAAGAATGATTTACAAATAATGTAGTACAAATATGTTTTATACATCATAATAAAAATTATATTATAGAAATACCTTAATAAAAGACTTATAATAGATCCATTATCTACGATCTCAATCCATTAGGCCTTTCCTTTCCCTAAAAAGTTAGAAGCCAATAGAGAGACTATTTACCACTCAATAAGCATACTTAAGTCCTTTTACAGAATTATATACCCATATTATAATTTTTATATATAAGAGTTTAAAAATCAAATTCATGAAAACATAAAATAATTATTCTTTTCAAAAAAATATTAGAATATATTTTTCACAAGCGTATACTTTTCTTGCACTTTCATAAGGATATCAAAGTGTACTAGTTTTTAGAACATAATAGAGTATGTGTGTTCATTCACATCTTCACAAAAGTTACAAAGTTTATTTGTATAGAAATAATATTATCTACTTATTTTTAGAGCATTTTCTTATAGTTAAACTTATTTTATTTACCCAATTCAATTATATTTAACCTATTTTATTTAACAAATATATGCAATTATATGTAGTGTGATCATATGCATGTCTTGTCTATTTATAACTCTACTTTCACTTATGTCTCCCATAGTCAAGTTCATTAGGTGAAGGAAACCATCTTGAGTCCCCCTTACATCTCCACTTGTACTTATGCCTGACTTGAACCTTGCACACCTGCAAAAATAATCAAATGGCCATAGAAATAACCTCTGACATCTACATGACAAATAGGGCTAGAATCATAAGCATAAAAGAAAGTTGGGCTTAGAAAATAGAATTTGCAAAACATTTTATCAGTATCTCACATCAAAACATTCATTATATGATCATAATCTTCAAAAAAATGAATATTTATAACTATACATAATTAACATTTATACAAGTTGAGCATGATCAAGAGCCCAAGTATGGCACATTATAAAACTAATTCATGTGCAACTTATTCATAATTTTTGGCTTTCACCATTTTGAGAAAAAAAAATGTAAATAAAATTTAAAACATGATTTTAAAGCTTTTAAAGATTTATAATCAGTACAAAAAATTATAACTTTTAGTAGAAATTACTCACACTACAGGAAAAACGCCAAAATCCGGCGGTTAGCCTAAATTAACCGGCGGTTTTTTCCGTTACCGGCGGCTTTACGGCGGTTTTTTTGCCGCCGAAAAAAATCGCGTAGGAAACTAGTACCGGCGGTTTTAGTTGCCGGCGGTTTTCCGGCAGCGCCGACCGCCGGTGTCAACCGATTTTTTGACCGGCGGTTTTCCGGTCGTGACGCCTCCGGTTATTTGACCGACGGCCTACCGACGGTCGTTTTACCGATGGTTCTCCGGCGGTTTAGTTTGTCGTCGTTTGCTTTTAAAATCACCGGCCTTCGCCGATAGACCGCCGGTTATTTTACCGGCGATAGCCGGCGGTCTACCCGTCGGTATTACCGACGCTCAAAACTGTCGGATGTCCACCCGTTGAACCACCGGTGGCCGTCGGAAACCGCCGGTAATAAACCGGAGGTTTAATGCCAGTACCGGTGGCTGATTATTGGCTGTCCGGTATCGTAGTTTCTAGAGGCCAAACCGCCGGTTAGCCGCCGGAAACCTATAGCACCTGTAAAAAAAAATTGACAGCATCCCCTCTATTCGAGGGAGGTTCACCCTAAAGTCTAAGCCTGCAGAAAAAGTAATATATGTTGGGCAACACGCCGCTATATTCATCACAATCATATGTTGGGCAACACGCCGCTATATTCATCACAACCATAAATTATAAATACAATTACAAACTCATCATAATATTATAATCATAGTTCACAAGTAAGTTCATGATAATGTTAAAATCATAAGTTCTGAAGTTCACAAGTTCTAATTAATACAATCAACAAACATAAAATAGATCTAATCATCATCTGTATCCTCACTGTCTGCAGATGGCTGCTCATGTTGGTCCTTCTTCCTCTGTTTTTCAGCTCAGTAGGATTGCAACTCTGCTTGCATTTCATTCTGAACCTTTCTCATTTCTTCAATCTCTCTAGATTGAACCCTTTTCATCTCTTCAATCTCTCTAGTAAGTGCTGCAACCCTCTCGCTTACAGATTCTTCAGCTCCACTTGGATCATGAAATGCAGAGGTGTATGAACTGCCCTCAACAGCAAAAGCCTGTGAACCCATGCCATATACCCTCCCCCTCTGTCTTCCACCAACAACTTCTGACCATGTCTGATACTCAGAAATGTGGGCAGAAATCATCAGCTTGGGTCAAACTTTTGAGGAAATGGATTTATATTTTTATATATAAAATTTTATTTTAGTGGACAATACCGTGACACTAGCGCGCAGCGCCACAACGCTCAATTAGAATGTTCTAGATTACCCTAGAGTCATCCAACCTTAGATTTTAGCACCACAATGCACCTTCTAGTACTACAGGCTCCCTTAATTCATATCAAAATATAAAGAGGGTAGCATCGCAACCCCACAACACCCAAAACACATGAACTATGTATTTCTTCTCTCTCAATTTCATTTCTAAATTCATTTGGGCTTACTTTTAACCTTAAATAAGTTAAATTTTTCAATATAAAATCATGATAGGTTTGGAGTATACCGGATTATTTCTAATCAATCATGATCTAAAACTATGGATTTTGTAGGTTGGAGTCGGGATCAAGTTTATGGGTCCTATAAGGTCGAAGAATTGGGTAACACAAGCACCTAAAAATCTTTATTATAGAGTACCTGGGATGTTGGCTAACTTTTTATATATATTATTATTGGAGACTATATAACAAGTATAGTGGTGAGCATACAATTAATAAGGTGCATGGCCGTGGATATAATGCATTCGTCCAAAAAGTCTTGGAAAGATGGGGATGATGAGCCATTTTAATAAGGTGTCGATGGTGATATTCAATGAGATTGTTATTTTTTTAAGTGTGTGGAGGTGTAGTTAAGTGAGATATATCATTAGAGGGAAGGAAGGGCTTTACTGAGATAAACTCGCCACCTTTGTAAGTATATAGGAAATAATTGAAGGTTGAAAATATTTTTCCACGAAAATTTTAAACTAAGTTGAAACATCTCGAACATCAAATATTTTCTTGAGGGGATAGAGAAAAATATATCATGTAAAATGATCAACAAAAATAACATAATATTTTTAGCCCTAATATAATAGAATAGGAGAGGTCCATACATTTGAGTAAGGTAGCTTAAGTGAATACGAACTAGTAACTAGGAGATAAAAATCTAAAGTTAAATTGTGAGCTTTATTGTAATAGCACGAATTACACACATTTTGATACATTTGAGTCAGATAGAGATAGATTAGCAAGAGGCTATGTGATGTAAAATTTTAATTGATGGATAACCAAGACAATGATGTCTTAGATTACTAAAGGCTTTTGTGGTTGAGAAGACAAATATTGGTATAGTCTAAGATGATGATTGTGATCACTCTTAAACACCAATTTTAGTTATTCAAGATTTTGTATTAAATTCTGTGTAATATTTTTTAGATACAAATTAAAATAGTGAAGAAAAATGAATGTAAATTAACACCCATGATAAATTAATGTCAATTTATTGCATAGATTAAATGAATGGAAGTAAATGAGGAAATTGAATTAACAGCTATAATGAATGCTAATTTAATACATAGACTAAATGATTAAAAAATAAAAGAGGAAAGTGAATTATGATCCTTGTTGAATATTTATTTAATATAGACTAACAAAAAGAAAACAAAAAATAAGAGAATAATTTATTTATTTGATTTCATTGATACCAATAGCCTCTTGAGAAACCAAGCAACTATACTCATAAGAAAGAAAAAAAAAATTAAAAGAGTTTAGTACATTGATTTCATATTTTCATATATATATATATATATACACCACATGCATTGAACTTGTTTTGCTCATGCTATTTTAACCACCACGATGACCTCCTCCTATAAAGTTCTATCCATATCTCAGAGTGGGCCCAGAACCATCTACTATATGCATTAGATCCTTTACATGAATCTAGGCTAAGCATTTCCACACAACAGCTACTCCTTTATATATATCTTCAACCTCTTCTCCTTCCATTCCATCTCTCTCCCTCTCTCTCTCTATATATATAATAACCATCCTTTCCTCTTTTCCTCCCATTTATTCATCTTAATAATCCCCGAAAAATGGACTCTCCAGCAACAACCATGGGAAGCGCTTATCCATTACATCAACCATAGAGCATAAATTTTTCAACAATGGAGAGAGGCAAGCATGGCCAAGAGAACTCCACAGAGTATTTTGCATGCAAGGAGGAGACACCGATGTCAGCTATGCCAAGAATTCTGAAGCAACTGCATGTGCTATTGCCTTATCAAAGCCACTGTTACATGATGCAATCGCCTCAATGAAGCTTTTCTGTGGAGCAGAATCGATAAGGATTGCAGATTTGGGTTGTGCCACTGGTTACAACACAGTCTCCACTGTTGAATTTGTTGTAGAGAACTTGAGGAAGCGGTACGAGGTTGAACTCAGCCATGTCCCAGAATTCGAAGCATCTTTCTCTGATCTCCCTTCAAATGACTTCAACTCACTATTTCAGTTACTTTTGCCATCATTTGACTCTACAGAAAGGCAATATTTTGTGGCTGGTGTTCCCGGTTCCTTCTATGGGCGCTTGTTCCCCTCTAGGAAACTTCACTTGGTTGTTAGTTTGAACTCCTTGCATTGGCTTTCTCGGGTATATACTTAGTCTCTTGCATTAAATTCTTTAAAAATGTAAATCGCTTAGCTTCTTATTTAGAGCATTCTTGGATAATGATGCATAGATTCCAGAGGCAGTGGTGAATAGGCAGTCACCGGCATGGAACAAAGGAAGAGTGTGGGTTCACGGAGCGAAGGATGAGGTCGTCGAAGCCTATGCAAAGCAGTCAGAAGAAGACTTGGAGGCTTTCCTACAATGCAGAAAGGCTGAGATCGTTGAGGGAGGGGTCCTCTTCTTATTAATGGCAGGGAGGCCTAGCTTGCAGCCTCCTGAGAACCAGTTGAATGATGAAGATACAAGAGCAAAACATCCCTTCATCATTATTGATCAAGCTTGGAAAGAATTGGTTAATGAGGTATATATATATATATAAATATATTTCTATTATCATATGTAACCCCCCATCACACCTTAAAGCCAATATGACACTAAATACTTGTCCCCATCGATATTTATTTTAGTTTTTTGTACACTTCTTTATCATTTTTATTGAAAGGAAGGTTCATATATATATTTGAGCAATTTAAAAAATCGTTCTGTACCAGGGATGTATCGAAGAGGAGGCCAGAGACATGTTCAACATTCCAGCATATATGAGGAGCATAGAAGAGGTGAAATCTGCATTTGAAAAGTGCAATGGTTTTGAAATAAAAACCATCGAGTATTTGAAACTGATCGAACATTCTAAAGAGAAACAAGAGGATTCGATTAAGGATCCCAGTTCGTACGGTCGAGCAAAGGCCAACTTTGTTCAATCTGGCTTGAGGCCTCTCATTGAAGCTCACCTTGGTAAAATCTTCACAGAGAAATTATTCAATAGGTTTGAGAAGAAGTACTCTGAGGATATAAACTTGCTGCATAAGATTTGCATCTATGGTCTTATCGTGGTGAGTGCAACTAGGAAGTGAGGCCAGTGCTCATAGTAATCATGTGTGAAAGTTCTAGTTGGAATCTTTGAATTCTTTTTCATGTTTTCTTGTTTCCTCATATTAAAAAAAAATGGAAATTCCTAATAGTTCATCACATATATTAGTCATAAATTATATTCTGATCTGCAACTTGCATGTGATGTAGAAATCTACATATGCATATGATAATAACAAGCTAGACCACTGCTTATCTCTTTGGACAGAAGGTAGTTTTCTTCGGTGTTGTGTAAAAGCAGCATTATTGATAGGCTGGGATTAAACAATGACAAAGAAATCTACTACTTCAAGCTGCTACAAAGTGATAATTGTGTAAGAAATCTCATAGTGAAGTAAAAGCAACGGTGTCCCCTCAAAAGAGTGCAAGACATGGACAAGCAGCTTCTCAGATTTGAGTATTAAAAACCAAACCAGAAATGTCATTTCATCTTCAATTCACTTTTTCATCTTCATGATCATAATTCCTAAATGTTAATTTTATCTATCAGTCTATGTTCTTCTCCATTATAAGTGCTAAACAAAGCTCTTAATAGTACTTAACTATCAATGATGATTCTTTAATTAAAAATCACCCAATCAGAAAACTTATTGTGTGGTTGCGTACTTTAAGCACTCCTACTCATAGCTGTGTTGATGCTTAATAGAGAGTAGTATAGATGAGATGAAATATTGCACTTTGAAAATGACAGGCTTAGATGATGAATTCAGCTAAGGTAAAAGTTTAACGGATCTCAATCATCCATGCTTGAGGAGTCGAGAATATTGCCAGTATTGTTCTAGTAAAAAAATATTGACAATATTACACTACAGGAAAATCGGCAATTACGGGCGGCCTGTTCTGACTGTTTTGGTAAGTTTTCAATTGGTTTTAAAAATTTTTGACAGTTTTCCGGCGTTTCATAAATCGTCGGAATAAACCGCATAGGAAAGGATTTCAGACGTCCAATTTGCAGCGGTCAAAAGTTCCGGCGGCCAAACAGCCGATAAATTCTGGCGCTTTCTAATTAGGTTTATGCATATTAACTTAGATGATTAGAGGGAATATAAAACACTCAATATAGATATTAGAAAGGGGCTATTATATTATTATTGATTTTGTTATTCAAATTCATGTCCTCTTGATATTTGTGGTGGCATCATAATTCTTGCTCCAACCCTATATACCCACTAAAAAAAGATGGAAAATGCATTATTTATCAACATATATCATTATAAATATATTAGTTTTGCAAAACTTCTAACTTGGACGGAGACACTGAGAGAAGAAAAGACTAGAGGAGAGCTAATAAGTGGTTATTAATTGTCTCGAATAATCAATGATTTTGAGAGAGAGAGAGAGAGAGAGAGAAATGAGTCATGACTTAGTTGGCTGGTTTGATTAAGAAGCTTGATTCCAACTACAAGGCCCGCTCTATCAACCATCACATCGAATCTGTTATGTAGATCCTATGGCCAAAAGCCTGCATGAAGAAGGCAAGCTGCGATTTACTAGTCTTTACTATCCATGTGAACATGTCTCATACTTAATTTGGGGGCCACAATGCCACCATATGCTTGACACATTAGTGTTAGCATAATGTAATTCAGAAAAAGCATATCACAAGAAATCTTTCTTGTTTGCTAGATTTTTAAAATGTTGAGAGCTAACAAATTGCTCACAGATTGGCTAAGTTCTATGACCAAGTTAGTTGCACAATGGTAGTAACGAAATGCTTCAAAAAAATATATTACCAAAATCATGAAAATCATTTACGGTGAATATAACAGTGGTTAAAACCGCTGCCTATAAATTTTTATAGCTGTGGTTTTAAAACCGCTATAAACTATTGTGACAACATTAACTTTTTTGTAGTGATTTCAACCCTTTCTTTTTATGTGAAGGCACTATACATGAATTTTGACATGAAATTCATTCCATGATTGGCTTAAGACATGCTATTGTGACACTTTTCTTTTTTACAGAGTGCATGATTGAGGGGCGTTTAATTGGGAATTTTATTTATTTAGTTAGCGCACAATATGCGTAGCTCGTTCGGAACAAAAGCTAATTTAATTTTTATGAAAAATTTCTTTTAAAACACAAATTTGGAAATGAAGATATGAAGTTGCTTCATAGAATAATTTTCATAAAAGTTCTCAATATCCTTTATGAAAATTATATATAGTACTCTAATAAACACCACTAAATCTCTTCTACTCACACTTTTGATAGTAATTTCTAGTGCTTTTCATCACATGTGATAGGCTCATCTTTTAACAAAAATTTGTCTAAACAAAATTTCTTCCTACTTGCACAATCATTACGTAATTTGAAATAGTCTAGCTGAAAATCATACCACTCATGTTTGAATAAAATACATGACTACACTTGATCTTTATTCACACTATAGAAAAAAAGTGCATCAAGATTTAAATCTTACAGTGATATACATATAACCATGAAGAAACTCCTACCAATGGAATGCCTTATAAGATTGAAAAAAAGATCATAAGAAATAATTAACCGGTCGAATCAAGAGAGATTATTGTGTTGAAAATTTGTACACTTTGAAAGCATCAAACATATTGTCACATGAAATTCATTTTGAAAATCTTATGGAATTTAGGGCCCTCAATTCAATTGTTTTGGTTGAAATTCCATGGAAAACTACTAGCTAGCGTATAGAATCTTGTATTGACCAAACACTGAGAAATAAGTTTGATCAACAAAAATAAAATAATAATAAAATAAAATCTAAAATAGTTGTGATGAAATGAACCATTATTATAATTTTCTATTTCCAGGAAATTTAGGCATTTAATCTATGCACACAATAAAGTTTCGAGTGTGAAAATTTAAAAGAAAAATATCAATAAATTTGCTATATTAAACTTTCATTTTTAACCAGACGAGTAATCTGCACTAGAAAGAATTTGTGAGCTAGTTACAGTGGAAACTAATCACCTAAAAGTGTAACATTGTTTCTAGACGAGCTATGTCCAAGATATATTATTGTTTCCATAAGTCTGAAACTTCTTTGATGTGCCATGAAAAATGATGGAAAATATGGAAAAATTGGTTGTTCAAGAAAGTGACATGGGGACCCATTACTTTGAGAATCAATAAGCTTATTGAAAAGAATTGGTGAAGGTGAAAGTTTGCTGGTATATTCTGAGCTGGTTTCAACACATGACAGGCTTTTGGGACTTAACACTGAAGCAGCTTAATTGTTGGGAGTATCTATACATATCAAATTATTGAATGTTTACCATAAAAAAAATCTTTTTATATACAGCTATAAAAACTAGTTGGATGTTTACCATACAAAAAATTATATTATATTGGGTCAATTGAACTCTTTCTTTTTATAAGTAACTGAATCAAATATGAAAAGTAATTTTAGCTCGTTAATTTACTATATGAGGTGAACTTACACATGAACCAACTCGATTTCTATAGATTCATATTAGCCCTTCATTAATATATATATATATAGGTTTCACCTTGAGAATTTGAATCTAACCATTTTTTCATATCAATTTTAGCCATAATGTCCATTTCCTTGAGGACTTTTCATGACAGGTTGGTAGTTAGTGAGTCAATTTTAAGAGGATTGTCAGAAATAATTATCTAAAGAATGCAATGTGTTAGCTTTATGAAATGCGCATGCATTCCAATGTGTGGTAATGAAATCTAAAAGAAAAGTTTGATGATTCCTCAAACCTATCATAGAAGGGAGCCCATTTAAACAGTCTCATATAATTTTTGTAAGATTATCAAATCATCTAAAGAGGTGTTGTGTATTCATCACCATTTTGGAATCTTATAATAAGGATAAATTTATTATCTAATAGAAAAATATGATTATGCTAATCAATTGGGTTATACTATTGGCTAAAACCTCAACCCATCAGTCAACCTTGTTGGAGGTTACAATAGAATAATGCTCCCCCTTCTTGAGGTTTGGAGGCTGATGGGGGCAGTAGAGTAACCTAAAAAATTATGAAATAATTTAGGGCTCTATTAATTCCTAAACAATACTTAGATTTTCTTTGATATAAAAATTTTAAAAATACCACTTAATATATGCAAGTATACATGCTAAATCAAGTAATATAGTAGAGTATCGATCGGCCCTCTCAATATATATCAAAAAAGCCTCTCGCAACCCTAGCGCCGCTCAGGCGATTTTAGGGTTCCTTTGTTCCTTCCTCATTTCCTTCGTTTCCGAGGGCTTTTAGTGAGTTTGTTTGTGAGTTTCTATCTGCTTTGCTCTGCTGGTGGCCGCTTTAGCTCTTGGCCCTGGTCGGGCTTCGTTGTTATGGCGAGGGTTTCTGCCTCGACACCTTGGGGAAACATTTCTTCAAAGGATCAAGATCTGAACAAAGGGTTTTTCAACTTGGATTCGGAGGGTCCTTCTCCGTCTAAATCGCGATTGTTTAAAGCGGTTCTGTCTGGAACTTCTTCAGGAGATATCTTACCTTCTCTTACCCAGTCGACTTTTAATGGTATACCTGCGGTGATGATTTCAGATGATGAAGTTCTGAAACTTGCTTCTCCCTTTCGTTTCACTTTGGTTGGCAAATCTGGCCTTCGACACCCTAATCTTGATGTGATTCGTGCATTTTTTGGTATCCTTAAGTTGTCGGGTTTTTTTTCTATTGGGTTGTTAGATCCTAAACATTTTGTTATTCAACTTTCTAATGATTTGGATTATAGTCGTGTTTTTGCTCGTAGATCATATTTCATCCTTAACTGTCAAATGCGAATTTTGAAGTGGATGCCATTTTTTGATGTTAAAGAAGAATCCCCAATTGTGCCAATATGGATTTCCTTCCCTAATCTTAGAATTCATTTTTTTAATCACAAAGTGTTGCATGCTCTGGGTTCAATTTTTTGCCGCCCTTTGCAGACAGACCAAGCGACTGCGTCTAGAACTAGGCTTTATGTTGCTAGGATTTTAGTTGAGGTTTATATCACTAAGAAGCATGCTAAGAAAGTTTGGGTTGGTTCTAAGACGTTTGGGTACTTACAAAAGGTTGATTTTGAAAAGGTTCCTGATTTTTGTAATCACTGCAAAGTTCACGGTCATGCCGTGTCGGATTGTTTTAAATTACACCCGGAGCTGAAGAAGGGTATCAGCAACTCCAATGGTAGGGGGGGATTTTGGGTACAGCTAACAAAAATTTAAAGATTTTGTCTCATGGAACTCAAGATGAAAGTAATTCCATTATTGAGAAGGCTGGTAACCTTCCTATCAATACTTCGGATGGTTTGGTTGTGCTTGAGAATTCTCCTTGCATTTCTCCTGAGAAAGCTATAACCAACAAGGAACCTATTGAGGAAAGTGAAAAAAGCCCTAAAATTTTCATTTCAGTTGATTCTATGCTGCAAAATAAGAGTGGGTCGTATTCCTCTTTGGGAATATTTAGCGGATTTTTCTCTTAATTCTAATGGTCCTTGGT